GAAGATGAAGATGAAGATGAAGTTTTTTCACCGCCTTGTGCGGCCTTCAATAGTGCAATTTCCCACCACACCCAATGGTTGTCTCATAAAGCAAAGTGTTTCTTGGTTTGGCCAAGGGTAGGTGTCCCACTAGAAACACATCATAGAAGTTGTCGCGAAGCTCCAAGTCGTAACACAGAGCGATTCCACTCAGAAATATTCCGCCATGAAACCCCTTGTCACGGATCAACCACTTGGTTAATCTCATTCTCCAAATATCAAGGCAAATTAACCCGCCCAACTTGATTGCAGCCCAACACAATATCGCGTAAGTGCAATTCTGTATAGAACGAGATGCACGCATAATCGACGATAATCTGTTTAAAGAGATGGTAGGAACGGCGGGAAGGGTATATCACATTGTTGTTATGATTATTACTCATTTTATCACGATCCTAGTGAAGCAAATGAGATATTCATAAAATCAAAAGAAATGCCACATGTTGAAACGCGCTGTCGTGGTGATGGTGATCATCGCTGGCGATGACCTCAGCTTCCATGGCATAGGTAGGTAGATAGGATGTCAAGGGCAAAATGTCGGCATTGGCTGAGCGCGCCAAAGTCACAGTGATCGGATAATTTCTGGGGTTGTCCCCGAAGAGACTGGACGGGACCGGGAGTCGGTGGTCATTGATTGATTGATTGATCTCCACTACTGTGCTCTGCCTCTCAGGCTCTGTACCCATGCAAGCCATGGGCCATCAGCAAGCGCCCCACTTGCCCCGTTGAAATGTTTAACAAAAAGGCAAGTGCAACTGAGCCCTAGAGAGATCACGTGGCTTCCGTCGTCGATCGAGTTGTTCGCACAAAAAATTTGGCGCCAGCAGCCTGCCTCTCTGAACAAACACCAAGCGGCCCAAGCCAGGTAAATATCCCCCCTCCCTTACCTCTTCGCCCACGATCGTCTTTACTAACCTGCAGCTCAACAGAACTCCTATTCACGATGGGTAGAGTCATTCGCAACCAGCGTAAGGGTCGTGGATCCATCTTCAGTCAGTACCGAACGAGCCTTTCCGCGATATCGAAACCATCAAAATACTGACGCCTAGGATAGCGGCCAACACGCGCCTGAACAAGGCCCCTGCTAAGTTCAGAAACCTCGATTATGCCGAGCGCCACGGCTACCTTCGAGGTGTCGTCCGCGAGATCGTCCACGATGCTGGCAAGTTCCCCGATTAGGTTCCCGAGAAAATAAGCATTCGACGGAAATTTACAAATTGTGTGCACATGGAGGAACGACAACTAACGATGATTGTCGTACAGGTCGCGGTGCCCCCCTCGCCAAGGTCGTCTTCCGTCACCCCTACCGATTCAAGCAGGTCACCGAGACTTTCATCGCCAACGAAGGCATGTACACCGGCCAATTCATCTACGCCGGAAAGAAGGCTGCCCTGACTGTCGGCAACGTCCTCCCTCTTGGTGAGATGCCCGAGGGTACCGTCGTCTCCAACGTTGAGGAGAAGATCGGTGACCGTGGTTCTCTCGGCCGAACCTCCGGCAACTACATCACCATTGTCGGCCACAACCCTGATGAGGGCAAGACCCGCATCAAGCTTCCCTCTGGTGCCAAGAAGGTCGTCCACTCTGGTGCCCGAGGAATGATTGGTATCGTCGCTGGCGGTGGCCGAACTGACAAGCCTCTCCTGAGTACGTTTCCCTAGAGTATCGAGTGTGAAGGATTGAATTGCTGACCCCCATTCCAGAGGCTTCTCGTGCCAAGCACAAGTTCGCTGTCAAGCGTAACAGCTGGCCCAAGACTCGTGGTGTTGCCATGAACCCCGTCGACCATCCCCACGGTGGTGTACGTATTTCCCGATCAAAATTGATGAAACGCAGAAAAGCTGACACTCGACATAGGGTAACCACCAACATATTGGTAAGGCTTCTACCATCTCCCGATACGCCGTCCAGGGTCAAAAGGCCGGTCTTATCGCCGCCCGCAGAACGGGTCTTCTCCGTGGTACCCAGAAGACAAAGGAGTAAAGTGGTGGCTGGGTTCATGGTCTCATTGGGATGGTGTTTACTGGCTTGCTTGCATCTATTGAAGGTACTGCCAAGAGCAGATGGCTGGTAGCTCCGAGGGCAAGTACTATGGCATTTGGCGCAAAAAAAATTCTGAAGGCCGTTTCTCTGTGAAAGATGTGAGCGAAGAAGTGAGATACCTCGAATACCGAAAAAAGGCTTCCACAAGAGAAGCATGCTTGGTTAAATAATGTCCTTGTTAAAGCGATTGTGCCGTCCATATGCTGCCCTATCAAGTCATGAGCTATGTTTATCGATATCCATTGATATATCCTGTGTTTCTAATGCTAAGCCAAATACTTTGTGTTGTCATAGTGCCTGGTAGGTTAGTTGGTTGAGGTGGTTGTAAGAACGGCCAACTATAGGGACCTTGGGTAGCTATTAATGAGGTCACCAGATCATGATGATCTAGGAAAGCAGTAACCAGACAATGATCGTATGATGGCAAATATAGTAGACAAACCTCCTGATACCAATTCCAACTCTGACCGAACAAACTCTCTTCATCAAATAGAATGAACCTCTCGTATCAACGACTCGCTGACTTGATAATTACAACTGTCCAACAAGTCCCCGCCTCAACGCGATAATGCTAGCAAGCTCATCATCCTCTCTCAGACTTCCTTCTCTTCTGCCTACCTATCGCACGTGGGCTCGCAGCTTTGCCAGCGTCACTTCCACTCGGCTGCCGACCAAACAGGCCCCGCGTCTGAACCCCACCAAAGTGGTCGACCCCTCCATTCGTCTCAAACTCTTCCCCTCCAAAGCTACACCCTTATTCTTATCTACCTCACCATATCGTGTATACCAGACGAGACAATTAAACACAATGTCTTCCGTTAAAGAATTCTCTCTCTTCTGTCTGGAGAACCCTCTCCTCGGTAAGTTTTGGTTATCTAGGCCTTCAATTGATAGACAGCTTTATTAGGCCCATTGAGATTCAACCCATTATCCGCTTACACCAGCTTTTGCTCCGTATTGATCAATCGCTGACATGTTGCTTCGTTCTTTATAGACATCCAGGCTCAGGGTGACCAAGCCCTTCTGGACAAGTATGGCCTCAAGCCTAACGACGCTATCCTCGCTGAGGAGAAGCACATCCCTCTCTATGAAGATCTCCTAAACAACTACGACGCCAAGCTCATCGCTGGTGGTGCTGCCCAGAACAGTGCTCGAGGCGCCCAGTACATCCTTCCTCCCAACAGCGTCGTCTACGTCGGTGGTGCTGGTGATGACAAGTACTCTGCTATTCTTCACGATGCTGTCAAGGCTGCTGGTCTCCGAGTTGAGTACCGTGTTGATCCCAAGGAGAAGACCGGTCGTTGCGGTGCCATCATTACTGGCCACAACCGAAGCTTGTGCACTGATCTTGGTGCTGCCAACCACTACGATCTTGACCACCTGAAGAAGCCCGAGATCTGGAAGCTTGTTGAGAACGCCGAGGTCTACTACGTTGGTGGCTTCCACTTCACTGGTAAGAAGACCTTACGACAGCACAGATAACTACCGTATCGTTTTATTCTAACGTGTATTAGTCTGCCCTCCTGCCATCATGGAGCTTGCCAAGCAGGCTGCTGAGAACAACAAGCCCTTCGTTCTCTCGCTCTCTGCTCCTTTCATTCCCCAGTTCTTCAAGGACGTTGTCGATGCCAGTGCCCCCTACTGGGACTACATCATTGGTAACGAGACCGAGGCTGCCGCCTACGCCGAGTCCCATGACCTTCCCAGCAAGGAGCCCAAGGATGTCGTTAAGCACCTTGCCAATCTCCCCAAGGAGAACAACAAGAGAAAGCGAGTTGCCATCGTCACTCAAGGTACCGACCCTACTCTGGTTGCTATCCAGGGTGAGGACGAGATTAAGGAGTTCCCTGTCCACGCCATTGAGAAGGAGAAGATCAACGATACCAACGGTGCCGGCGATGCTTTTGCCGGTGGTCTCTTGGCTGGTATCCTTCAGGGCAAGCCTCTTGAGACCAGCATTGACATGGGTCAATGGCTCGCTCGTTTGAGCATCCAGGAGCTTGGACCTTCGTAAGTTCACCCATAAGCACGATCATATCTCCCATTGTTTTTCAAGTCATCTTTCCATTCCTCTACCTACATTGCCTATCAAGAGTATTGTCCCATCGAAAAGGACACCAATCTCAACAATTCAACCATTATGCCAACTCTCGGCTAACTCATCTGCAGATACCCCTTCCCCAAGCAAACCTACCAGGCTGCTTAAATTTGTTAACAACTCATCTTGCACATCCTTCTTAAGGGATTGAATGTGGTTCGGCGTTGCTAGGGAAAAGGGAAACGGGAAACGGTTTCAACAACGGCGTTTGCATCCAAGGGAGAGTATTACCCTAACTGAGGGCTCTCAAGCGCACTAAGCAGCATGGTATCCTCCACGATATCGAGTATTTGGCAAGCATATTATCTGAATGAACATAAAAATGAATGACTTTTTGCTTGAGAACCCAAGATCTTGCACCGATAAACGGCGTCCAAACCAGCACACTTCTTGTATACCTGGAGAGATTAAACCGAGTTGTGTTACGGTGAGCCGAGCCAGCTGTAGGATCCAAATCCGGTGTAGAGACTCGCGCATTAGAAAACATCAGAGCACGATGATGTGCTTTCTGATCGACCATGCTGCCAATATCTTGAACAGCCACACACAAAACTCCAAAAGGTTGAGCCACAACAAGTAGGGACATGTACTGCTGCCATGCAGCGCGTTGTCAATCTGACAATTGTTCATGCCTGATGCCAATGGCTTATCGGGATAAAATACTCCGAAAGTGGTAACAGTGTGTGACGGACCAAGCAGAATGAGCATGACCGGTCGTAAGGACTGGACAAGTTCGTTCGCTTCAGGAACTCCGGTCTCTACCTGTTGCCGTAGAATGCAGCCTGCAAGATCGCAGCGTCATAGCTGGAAGTTGTCTCGTCCATCTGAAACCGTCGGCCTGACGAGGCTGGCGCCGATTCTTGCGCGCGGTTACGATCGTAACGGCTCATGTCTGCATAGCCTCCATTCGGCATACCGAAACTGGCCCCGTTACTGGGAGTACCCTGGTATAAGCTGCTTGGGTGTGAGAATCCAGACAAAGTAGAGGATGTAGGATAACCGTTTGAGACCTGGCTGTGTCCATGAGATTGTGGGTTTGTGTTGTTGGCAAGACGGTTTGAGTTCTGGCCCCATTGGCTCAACGAAGAGGTTCTAGGGGCGCTGGAACTCCCAAAGGTTTGTAGCAAATTGTTACGATGAGCCTCCTCAGCTGCGGAAGCAACGCGAGGACTTGCCATCGTACCATTGGTCGCCCGATGAATTGGCATAGAAGGGAGCTGAGGCGAAGAGTTGGTATAAGGATCCTCAAACGTGCTGACATTTCGCGACATCTCCCGGGCGGCAACGTTAGGGCTGACAGGGGCATCAAAAGCAGCATTGTAGGCAGAAGCAGAAGCGTCACTGCTTCTGTGAGGCGTGGATGTATGAAGCCAGGCCCAAGGCAGAGGTGCGAACTTGCCTGTGGGCAAAGAGCCGCTAGGGGCTGGCGAAGCATGAAGCATTTCGAACACTTCGTTTGCTGTCGTACTGTGCATTCCGTAAGAGGACTCAGCCGTGGACCGATGATCCGACTGAACCTGCTCGGGAGTAGGTGGCCTAAGGAAAGGCGTGAGCATATTGATAACAGTGTTATCCGCATCATCCGGGGAAAGCTCCTCCTGGGGAAGTTGAGTCTCAGGAGATGCAGCGAAAGACCTTCTCGAAGTTCCGTTGACTGCAGGGTGGCTGTCCACCTGTCGATTTTCAGAGATCTTGCGCTCATGGCTTACCGCCTTGGTCTTGCTCTTGACCTCTTGTGTAGGGGAATTCACAATGGACATAGGTTGAGGAACCGGTTCATTCTGTGTAGACACCGGCTTGTATTCAAAGACAAGGCCGTGCTCAGAGACTTGGTACATTAGCGGGCACGAGACATCTTCTGCCAGGAAATAGGCGCATCGAAGAATGTCCAAAATTCTTGCCAGCGTCTCTTGAAAGGGGCGAAGTCGGTGCTCTTGGGATGGCAGCCTTGGTTTCAAGACCCCGCTCTCTAAATAGTAAGACCGGCATGCCTCAGGTACTTGATCTTCAGCAAGAGGAAGTAGCCCCTGAGTCTCGACGTCTTCAGCAAGAAGATAGGGGCATGATGCCAACGCTTCCTGCGTGTACTTCTCGTTGCATAGTAATGAAAAGACCTTAGAGATAGCTTTCATCATGTCCGGGAGTACAGCACCAAGAGCCTGGCCAGCAGCAAAGATCTCCTGGCGGCGTGCGGCAAGCCACATGCCGTAAACGCGCAGTAAAGGCAGAAGTGACTCGATCACAGGAGACGATTTAGCAGTGGCAGGGTCCTCAGAAGCATGACTCTCTCGCTCAACGATATTGGTGAGCTCTGAACCAAGGGCTGAGCAGAAGGCAAGGATAAACTGCGCATTTATGCGCAGGGTACGATGACAAGTTCTAGATGTTGCCGGTGATTGGGCCTCTGTTTTGCGTTAGAACATTGCGACTAGACAAGATAGCGCAAGAGGAACTTACCAGTGTATTTCTGGGATGCGACATGATAGCTTGACATGTTAATCAGTGTCATCTTGAATAGAACTTCAGAATAGTCGGGGTTCTTGGAGGCCATTTCAAGTCGGTGCAGGACTTCCCTTTCGAGCTCCGCCATGCCAGCCATGTTCTCATTCCTATAGTATGAAGCATGAAGCTTTGTGAACCATGTGACGAATGCATCGCTCGGTACTCTGCTTTGCTTCTTAGGCGGGCTCTTGTCCGGCTGAAACAGGGTCTTGAACTTGGACTCAAGACTCTGCTTTGCGTTAGGATGAGGTTCGGCAGTTGCAGTGCTCCGGTAAAAGTAGTAAACGGTATCTAAATCCTTGCCTTCTTCAAGGCTGATGATACCCATCTGGTGGAAAGGGAAACCGGAATAGGGTTTCAAGTCGTGGGCGAGACTATAGTAGGCCAAGGCGATTCTGTAGCCTGACTTCTTCAGCCCCGATTGGACCTGATAGCGTGCCAGGTCGCCAAGGCATATGAGGGTGAAATGACAAGAGTTTATCACCAATGGGTAGATCTGGTTCGGGACAGGGCTGATGGCGTCACTGGTAGAAGACCCGTCAACCTCAATTCCTTTGGCAATGCGCTTCAGTTCAGGGATATCATATCGAGCAGAGAGTCGCTGCACATATCCCTTGTAGAACTCCTGAGCGACGTGTAGGAAGCCCAGGTACTTATCACCAAACTTGCGTTTCTCCACATTGCGCTTGTCGTTTTTCTGCTTTGGAGTGGCTTGTTTGTCCCCCTTAGACTTGTCCCCGTTGCGCTTCTCGTTGGCCGTCTTATCGGCCTTTTGCTTGTCTGGGTTTTGCGCCAAGTGTCGGAGGCGGCTCAGGGTTCGTCGGTATTCGTTGTTGATACTAGTATGTACTGTCCACATGGTGTGATCGGTACGTTCGGCGACAGCATACTCGAAGTCGAGGTATATGGTTTGAACACAAGCAAGACGGAATCTGGGCAATAGTTGTCAGCTTTCAGGAACACATAACAATATGGCATTCGATCTTCCTTACTTGTCCAAGTACGAGTCAATTGTCTCGAACTGAGAGATGTCGACGCCAGAGTTGCTGTCTTTTGGAAGCTTGTCCATGTGCTTTGTCAAAATCTTTCGTAGTTTGATTGCATTACTAGAGAGTATCAGTTTCCTGTTGTTTACTTGCGTGGTTGTATTGGAAGTTTGCGGCGTTTGCGCAAGCCCTCATCAACAACCACATGTTTTGGCGGGGTATATTTGCACCACACCAGCACCAGCACCAGCAAGACAACGATGATTCTCAACTTACCGCCATGTTTGTCTGGCCTTGACAGAAAGGTCCGCATGTTCGGGAGTTGCGGCCTGGCCGTTCGTGGTCGTGGTCGCGGTCTCTGACTCCATTGTCGCAAAATCGGGGTGTAAATTGGAGTGCGCGAGAGAACGGTCGTAAACGTGAACGGCGTAGACGTGGAGGGCGGACGCAGAGGCAGAGGTACGGGACAAGACGAAAGGTGTCGCGGCACGATTCTAAAGCATCGATATTGAACTATAATGCTTTTCGCTCATGCTTTCTTTTCGGCTCGATCATGGAGAGGGCATCGATCCATAGCTCATTCGTAGGTCGGGCTGTTGGGTTGAGGGTTGGCACCAAACTCGGCTCGCGAAAATGGAATCGTCGGCCGAGAAGACAAACATTGGCGAAGAGGGAGGGGGAGGGGAGGAGGAAAACCGAATAGAAGTGTACAAAATAAATAGAAAGCAAAGAAAGTTAAAAGGACGCAAATAGAATTTCAGCAAGTACAATGCAGGCCTGTCGTTTACTGATTGCGCCGCAGACCGAGCGTATAAGTCGGTAGCATTTGTATGGAAGAAAGTGAATGCAATGGCGAGTGAGAAAAAAAAGTATTGGATCGCTGCCCACGCCTAGGTTGAGATTGAGGTTCAGCTCCCGTCAGTTCAGGCTGGGAACCTGGAGGTCCATACAGTTGGTCTTAGGCTGCCTAACGTCGGGCCCGGGTAGGTTGAGAAGCCCGGGGCTTCCAAGGCACACAGAATTGGATAACCTCCACTGACTGGGTTTACTTCGGCTGCTGAAAATCAGTTGGACCCTGGAAATATCGTGTGCTTGAACGCATCATTATCGGCCACTAGCGAAGAATTTCCACAAACTACTTTTCCTCAATGACTTTATGAGTCCGTCATACAGCTGCAGGGGTTGGTTTGTTAGTCATGGGTGCATAGACTTTATCGATCAAGGTTACTCTTATTGTTGCTAATGTATATATACTCGTTGTGATCTATCTCTTGTAAATTAGTCCAGTACTCTATTGTGATTACATTTCAGTAACAAATAAGGCCGGTCCAAATGATATGGAACCGTCGTAAGTAGCACATTCACTGTAAATTTAAATGGATCTTAGCTTAGGTACCTAGGTAGGTATCCGTAATGCCTCTGTACCCAGCCTGAGATGGGTGGCAGAAAACGCATGGATAGAACCTATTATTCTAGCCTATAGGTAGCCTCCACAAGGCACCAAAAAACAACGATGGAACTGACCTCCATGAACTCTATCTACCTACCTACCTACCTACCTTAGTAGAATTCAGAACCTGAAATGTTCAGCTTTTGTTAAGCAACACTGTATGAATTACTCTGTTTCCAAGTTACTCCGAAAAGATTCTGTTTAGTTAGGTAGTCCACGGTTCTCTCCTAATCATGGTCATCTTCATATCCATAACTTCTTGATGAAGTTTAGGGTATATAGCTCGTCAAGTAAACCAAAAGCTTCTACTCTTTCGGATGTTTCAGTGAGGAAAAGAAGCACAAATAGAACTGAAAAGAATATCTGAAGATGTTAGCTTGGGTCAAGGGTAGGCATTACAGTATTGTCTACTAACAATGACGTTGGCATAAGAGATAGAATAGCTTGATCTCTTCACAACTTTCTGATGAGGTTACTGAATTGTTTATTTCTGTACTCCAGCCAAGGGAAGAGGCCAGGACCTGTTGTGAATGGATAGATAATGTTACCTCGTTAAGTAAAATGTGCCAGGTCTAGGTTTGTCCAACTCATAGGTTATCCCGTCTATCCATGTTTCCATATGCCCCTCACCCGGGCCGTCAATCACCTTGTGCTTTAGCGCCTTACAAAACACCCCCACCATTACATTGGCTGAGCTTCCAGCTTCAGGCATCGAGTGAGAGTTCTCAAAGATCCATATCAACATCACAGCTTTTTGTCAACGAGTATTTCATGGTCTTCGCTCGCGCCTAGCTTCCTGACGTATACGGTTGCCAACTACAGAACCGAAGTATCGATCCTTTCAGCAATTTGACGACAAAGACATCAGCCGGCCGACCCTGCACACACCGCTTCGGACCCATCCTGTCAAGCATTTGCTTTCAAGTAATTCTACCATTCCAATCAAGCTCACAGCAGAGAATGAAGCGCTCACGAGAGATCGAGGAAGAGCTAGATTCCAATTCCGAATGCACACAAGCGGAACCGTCCCTAAGACCAGTATATAAGGTTACCCAACTCGACTCCGCCATCGACGACGACGAAGAGGATACAGTAGCTATGAGATGCAACTTGCCTCCCCACGGGGAGCCTCTATCCTTCAGATCATACGATGAATACGAGGTGCACTACAACAAGTCTCATACTAACCGGTGCCTCGAATGCCGCAAGAACTTCCCCAGCGAACATCTCCTCAATGTTCATATCGAGGAATACCATGACCCCCTAGTATCCGTTAAGAGGGAGCAGGGCCAGCATACTGTAAGTTACACATCTAGCCAGAAACTTGCATGGATCAAGATGAAAGACTAGCTGACTGGTATATCGCAGTACTCATGTTTTGTTGAAGGGTGTGAACGCAAGTGCATGACACATCAGAAGCGGCGTATGCATCTCATTGATAAGCATATGTACCCCAAGAATTTCTTCTTCGCAGTCACCAAAGACGGCATTGATGGCAGGCGGTCTCTGTTGAACGACGGCAGCCACCATCGCCGTCGGTCTTCAACCAACTCCCAAGCTATCAAGAGCTCTCGACGACGAGCTAGTCTCAAGGAAGGAGAGAGTACCTCTCCCCAGCAGGAACCCAAGTCACCACAACAACAGTCACCGAGATCGCCCAAATCACCGACATTGCAGAAGACGGAAGCAAAGAAGGGCAGCAACAAGCCTACAGACACTGAGATGGCAGACCTCACAGGTGCGATGTCATCGCTTTCCTTTGTCCCACCAAGCGTCCGCTTTGGACGAGGAAGAGCTGGCTTTTCCAAGACATAGAATGGGGACGGAGCTCCAAGCTGGATAGGAGTATCAGCACGATGTTATGAATATATGACGCGGTCAATGAAAGGATTTTCTACCTCATTCTGTCGACATGTGTCGCTTGTTTCCCTGAATCGTAATATTGTGTGTTGATGTTTATTATGCGCCAGACGCCATCTCTTCCGTTCCACTTCTGGAACAACTTTCCACCATCGATGGTTCTCAAAACTTGACCGTACCGCATCTAATCAGTTGATGCGCAGCCTCTGCATCCGCAGCTGACGCACTCGATGTCTTGATCGCCCTTCATCTCAGATCTCGGCACGCGACAGATGCATGTGCTATTGAAGTTTGTCTCCTTTGTCTGGATGCAGCGCAGACAGCAAAGCTAGGCAATGTCAGTATACAAATGCAAGATGGACAATGACTGGGGGTACACACCTTTTCGTAGCCTTGTTTCTTCCACTTCGCGATCAGCATGGCGTCGGCGTACCCGTTCTTTAGCAGCCAGTCGTATAGTTTCTTGCTGATTGCCTCCTTCTCGTAGTATAGCTCGTAAACGTATCGACTGCGCTGATGCGAGATCTGGAAGATTTCCCATTGTGCTTGGTGCCTAGGTCCTGACGGCGGTGGCTTGTTTTGCGCGTCCTTCATCTTGTTGGAGAAGATGAGCAAGTCATTCTCAATATCCTCGAAGCCATCAGGCGGTGGCTTGCGCTTCGATGAATGTCGTATCGCGGGCATCTCGTGTCTTCGTTGTGTTTTTAGATATTAAATGTTGTCGTGGTGTGAATCTTCCGATTATAATCAACAATGGTGATGGTTCAATAACGAAGAGTTCTGGGTGTGACAGAAAAGTACAGCAGCTAACTTATGAGTTAGTTCTGAACGCATAGATGACTAAATAACGTCCTCACATCAGCGCCACTTCAGCCCAGTGTCCGTTCCATTATTTTCTGCACTGAGTCATTGGCTCCTCTTATCTGCTCCCTGTAACTTAAGTGGGGTCATAAGCTCCCGTTTCTTCAGGCTTTAGCTTCATGCAACGAACGTTGATCTTGAAATGGAAACCAGCGATTCTGCTCTCTTGCTTCAAGAATAATAAAACACAACCGAAAAATATAAATTTAAAAAAAAAAAAAAAAAAAA